CCAAGAAACTGCATTAGCAGATACTCGCTAATATTAGATCCAGCTAAGTCCAAACGCATTCCAGGGGATGTGTTCCTGATGAGTGAACAATATTTATCGTTCGAGGGCGGATACAGTTTTAACCCGCGCCCGGCTGGGGGTCCTGGATTTCCACGCCCTGCTGGGGGGGGGGGGGGGGTGTTTGAACACCCCCCCTTCTAACTCGGCTCCTGGGCCACGTAGCGATACGCGGAAGGCGGCGTTCGAAAGAGCGTCAAAAATAATGACGAAATCACTTCGGTCAATTTTTTGGTCAGGTCAAAGGTCAGGTCACCAGAGGTCATTGAAGGCAAAATTTCGCCGATTTCCAGGTCGAATGTCGACAATTTCTAAGAAGCCAACGCATAACTCGGGAACCAATAGAGCTACAGCGCCGCGGAAAAGCGCATTCGATAGCCCTATTAACGCCCTTTCTGAGTAATTCTCTCAGATTTGACCTAACGTTAACGGTTTTGCCTGCAGGGGGCAAAAACTGCAAAAATAGCCGATTTTTTCGGAAACAGTTTTTTCTGCAATAACTTTTGACCCAAGCCTTGTACGAGCTTACTTTTACCGGCATCGTGTTCCTCTCGTCAAGACGCATCGAATGAACTATAACTTGACCTTGAAAGGTCAACTTGAAAATTTGACCTCAGGTCAAGGTCATGACCTGACCGGAAAGGGTCATGTTGCATATCAGTCGATCCGTATCGTCGAGCTGAACACATCTAAGGCGTTTTCATCGCTCTAGCATGCCTCTATCAAAAATTATTTGCGAAAAACTGTTAGATACCATTCGTGACCTAAGATGACCTCAGGGCATAAACAGGGGTCACGGACACCATTTTCATGTTTAGTGTGTCTAAAACACTTGTAATTTAGTGTTAGGGAGTGTTTATAATGTCTTTCGTCCAAAGGAGGCGCATTTCAATTTTCTCCCATTGACTTATAATGGGGAGGTCGCAAAATTGACCTGACCTTAGGTCATCGATATCAAAATTCTGAGATATACATTTTGTACATGCTATTGCTCTGAGCAATCACTGAAAGTTTCAAAGCGATCGGTCACTCAGTGTAGCTATGACAGACATTGAAACTTTTTATGAGGTGAGGTCACTTCAAGTGACCTGGTGACCCATAGGCGTAGGAACGTTTTCGAAAGTGGGGGGGCCAAGGTCCCAGAGGTCCAAAACCTAACCTACCCCCAAAATCCGATTTCTCCTCGGATTTCGGCCACTTTGTTTTCGCAAACATGATCAGAGATAAAAAAAAAAAATCGAGACAAAAACAAAAACAAAATTGGTTAAAATTTCAGGGAGACTCCCGTCCATAAACTCAAACTGATGGACGTGTTCCCCTGTCCTCCGCAGCCGTTGGCACCCATGCAAATTCCAGAGGCATCCAGCAGCTTTTTCATTACGAGCAAGCGTGAAACGTGCAAAGCGAGTCTTTTCAATATACCTATAAAAATCAGCATGAACGGCCCAGCTAGGCTCAGCCAGACCTATAACGTTTTTAAGAGGTTTTATATCAGCGACCACTGCAACTGGGCTGACTGACTATCAGAGGCCGGTGTGGGACTTTTATAGGTCGGTCTGGGCCACCAGAGGCCAGTTTAACCCTCGCCGGACCGGACCTATAGGTTTTCTACATACGCGCCGGCCGAGGGGGCAGGGGGCGGGTACGACCCCCCTCGCCGTTGCGCCCCAGGTTGAGCTAGCGCGTCGCGGAAAAACGAGCGTGTGCGCCGTTACAAGACGCAGAGATCGATACCCGATTTTAAGGTTCCAGGTCAACCGGTGACCTCTGAGGTCAGGTCAAGTGCCTCAAGGCACGGTTCCGTTTTTGGTGAATAACTTCGCAAAAAACGGCCGCACAGCCGCGATTTTGCCAGCATCGTGTTCGCCTCTCTCAGGCGCGTCGAATGATATACTTTTTGTTTGGGTGAGGTAAACTGAGGGTGTTGACCACGGGTCACGGTCAGGTCAGCGCCCCCAGGTCACGAAATTGGTCGAAGGAGGTCATGTCGCATATCATTCGATTCGGCAGGTCTTCCTGAGTCCATTGATGGCTTCCCCGACTCGCTAGCTCAATTTGATCGGTAGTGATTCACGACAAACTTATATGACCCTTATAACTTCATAAATGACGTCGCGCAAGGTCAACATTGCAAAAGTGACGCATCGAACCTTGCAAGGAGTGCATGAAAGATTGAGTGTGCTTGAGATAGTTGAAGATCGTTTACGGTGCCAGAAAAAGTTTTCAGTTTATCCCCATTGACTTATACCTAATGGTGAGGTCACGAAAATGACCTTAGGAAAAATCCGAGATGTACAAGTTGTGAGACTCCTAATGGATACTAGATCCTCCAAGGTTCATTTCCCTGTGAAATCTCCTCTGGCAGTGAGGGCGTTGGGAAGTTGCGACATCTGAAGACCGTGCAGAGGTTCACTTATGACCTCATGGGTCAGTGACCTGATCTGACCCGAAAATGCGGTTGGTGTCAAAAGATCCGGCTTGATTCAAAGGTCAGGTATGCAAAGCTTCAGCTCTCTATCGCCGGCGTGTTCGGAGCTATCGCGAAAAAAAACTATGGAGGGGCGGCACCCGCCCCCCCCCCCCCCCATCGGCCGGTGAGGGTTGAGGCCCTCAGAGACCAGTACAGGGCCTGCAAAGGGCAGGATGAGACATTTAGATGCCGACTTGGGCCATCAGAGGCTAATGTGGGCCCTTACAGGCCAGCATGGGCCCTCAGAGGTCAGTGTGGGACCCTAAAATGCCGGCATGGGCCGGTGTTGGACCCCAGAGGCCAGCAGAAGGCCATCAAAAACCAAGATGGGCCTCAGAGGCCAGCATCGAATCTTCAGAATCCAGTGCAAGGCCCTCAGAGGCTAATGCGGGTCCTTACAGGCCAGCATGGGCCCTTAGAGGTCAGTGTGGGGCCGTAACAGACCGGCATGGGCGGGACCTGGAACCTAGAGACCAGCGGAAGGCCCTCATAGGCCAAGGTGGGCCCTCAGAGGCCGATGCGGACCCTTAGAGACCGGCATAGGATCTTCAGAATCCAGTGCGGGGCCCTTAGAGGTCAATGTGGGACCCTAAAATACCAGCATGAGCCGGTGTTGGACCCCAGGGCCCAGAGACCAGCAGAAGACCCTCAAAAACAAAGATGGGCCTCAGAGGCCGGCAGCAGGTCTTCAGAATCCCGTACAATGCCCTCATAGGCTAATGACGGGTCCTTACAGGCCAGCATGGGCCCTTAGAGGTCAGTGTGGGGCCCTAAAAGACCGGCATGGGCCGGCGTTGGACCTCTAAGGCCAAGATGGACCCTCAGAGGCCGATGCGGACCTTAGAGACCGGCATCGGGTCTTCAGAAATCAGAATTCAGTGCAGGACCCTCAGAGGCACCTAAAGGTTAGTCTTGGGACCCCAGAGACAGAAATGAGGCCACCAGAGGCCGGTGTGAGGCCCTCAGACGCCGACTGGGCCCTTGAGGCCGGTTTAGGGGCCCTCAAATGAGGTCAATGTGGGTTCTCAGCGGTCAATGTCGGCGCTTGACCGCCACTGAAGTGCCCTCCAAGATCAGTGTAGGACCCTCAAAGACTGGCTTGGGAGCTGTTAATAGCTAGCGTCGGATTCTTGAGCCTCGTGACAATCGAATAAGGGCCAGAGCCCCATACGCCCATGGGGGCCCATTGGTTGTTTGGGGGGGGGGGCAAATGATATGATGGCCCCCTGATTAGCCTTTGGAGGGGGGAAGGGCATGGCCCTGATCCCCCCTCTGCGACCGCCACTGCACTGAAAGTGGAAGGGAAGGGGCAGATACAGACATTGCTGGCCCCCAGCCTGTTTGAGCCGAGGCTCAACAGGCAAACAGGCATGGTCACCCAGGCCCCCAGCTAGTACCTACGCCTTTGACGAACTATGCCAACCCCTAGCAGATCCGGTCAAGCGTTGGTCGTTTGTATACGCATTCTCCTGTACCGTGCTAGTATTGTCTTATACCTTTTCAGTGCTCGCTGTCCCGTGCCTCGCATTCAACAAAATGCTGTCACCAGGACCCACAGTCTTGTCTCTGATATGGTTTCCTTCATTGAGTGAAGGAAATTGCGGTCAATAACGCTGTAGAAACAAAAGGGAATCTTCACTAAAGGGCAAGCTGAATTGTTGTCAAGTTACCGGGTGGTAGCACTGGTACCTAGGTACAGACAGACACTTAAGTCAGCAAAAAGTGGGGGGGCCAGTTAACATTGCTGGCCCCCCCACCTCCGAAAGTGGGGGGGCCATGGCCCCCCCGGCCCCCCCTGTTCCTACGCCTATGTGGTGACCTGACCTTGAATGACCTTGGTCTGAAATTTTCACAACATGTGTAGAATTGATGTATGATAAGGTGTACCAAAAACGGCGGCGCTCCGCGCCGCCGTTTTTGAGATATTCGCGAAAAACCACAAGGGGGGGTGTTCAAACACCCCCCCAGCAGGACGCGGGTTAACAATACAAAAAATATTTTTGCACAGCTCTATTCCTTGAATAATTCTCTTCAACGCCTCATTCCTAGTTAAGCGAATTAGCCCACCCTGGTTGAATAAATAAGGCGATTTCGCCACAAGGTCGCGGAAATCCGACCGAAAACGGCCGCGCTCAACGTTAATTTGGGCATGCAGACTCTTAAAAACTCGCATTGGGCGGGTAGGGTTTCCCAGTTATTGGCTCCAAAACACCGTATTCGGCTCCCGAATACGTCCAAGTGACCCGCCTCGTTCCTAGTTAAGCTCTAATTAGATCAAGTGACTCATAAGGAGCGAAAAAGCGACAAAAAGCATGAATTTCCCTATGGCGGCGGGCTGCCGGGTTGCCAGACGGCGCACCGGCTATTTCCACTTTTGACACACCATGGAATAGTGATCTAGTTTTCTTACGTTTCGGTCGCCTATCGACCTTCCTCCCAGCGTGTGACTTCTGCCTGACCTGCTGTGTTCCAGACTCGCCGCAGAGTGACCGCGACGGAGGGGTCGAAGACGAGGAGCAGCACTGCGATGAGGAGGAGCAGCCATCAGAGGGTCCGCCTCACCCACACCGGCAGAGGTGGCGGCAGATTGAACAGCAACATCAGCAGCGGTGGAAGGAGCTGGAACTACAACATCAGCAGCTATGGCAGGAGCTGGAGGATCCAGGTCACGAAGAAAGAGTGAGGATGGACAAAGAGCATGAAGAGGAGCGTCGACATCTGGAGCAGAAACACGGTACGGAGTGGCAGAACCTGGACGAACGTCACTATGAGGAGCGTATTGCGATTCATCAGCAGCACGGCGAGGACACCAGATGCATGCACTTACGAGACAATGAGCAAGCACGATCCAGGCTTTTGCGACGGTTCCTGAAATGGAGAGGACAAAGGAGGCTGAGTAAGATGCACCGACAGCTGAAACAACTTGATCGCTTCCACCAGCTGCAGTGGAAAAATCTCCAGCAGAAGCTGCGGCAGCAGCGTCGAGAGCTGAAGCGAAGACACCAGAGAGAGTCACGAGAACTGGAGGAGAGATTCCCGAGCGTCCGGTCGGAGGAGTTGGATCGGCTGCTGGAGGAGTGCAGCAAGAGACGTCAGCAGCTAGGAGAGGAGTTAAAGGAGCAGCTTCAGGAGCAGGAGCACGATTATCAGCAGCGTGTCACCAGGAGCCTGCTGGCGCGCCACCAGGAGGAGCGTGAACAGCTCCTTCGGAAGCACGAGGAAGAAACTAGATGCCTGAACATGCGGATCGATGAACAACCACGGTCGTGGCTTCTGCGGCGGTTCCTGAAATGGAGAGGACAAAGAAAGCTGAGTAAGATGCACCTGGAACAGCTGAAACGACTTGATCGCTCCTACCAGCAGCAGTTTGAAGATCTCCAGCAGACCCTGCAGCAGAAGTGGCAAGAGCTGAAGGAGAGACACCAGGAAGAGTCACGAGAGCTGAAGGAGAGACACAATAGAGAGTCTCGTGAGCTGGAGCAGGGACACCATACAGAGTCACGAGAGCTGAAGGAAAGACACCAGAAAGAGTCACGAGAGCTGGAGCTCAGACACCAGAGAGAGTCACGAGCGCTGGAGGAGAGACCATGCACTGAAGAGGAGTTGGATCGGCTGCTGGGGGAGTGCAACAGCAGACGTCACGAGCTGCAGGATGAGCTGCAAGAGGAGCTGGATAAGGAGCTGGAGGAGCAGCTTCAGGAGCAGCAGTGCCCTGAGGAAGGTGAGTGACAGGCTCCGATGTCAGATGATTTACGAATGTTATGGACAAGGATGACGGAAAGCAATTGATTTCAGGTGAGATCAATTTTGCGAACTCCCCTTATGCCAATGAGATAATTGAAATGGGCATCTATTGTGATAATTTCTTATCAAACACTTCTAAGCATCGGGCTACAAAGAAAAATGACGACCTATATCGGAAAAATGCCAACTATGACCCCTATGTGTGTATGCCCATATGGCCACTTTTGATAAAAAATGCAATAGCGATGAGAATTAACGTTACAGCATGACCTTTTTTCCTGTTATGTCATAGCATTGACCTGACATGAACCTGACCTGACAAATAGCCTTTTGACACGGACAATTATTTTACATACACTATGATGACGCGTCCAGATTCAAAATAGCCGTTTTCACGACGGTTTTTTTGGTACATATTTGGTGCAGATTCGGTGCATATTTGGTCAAATTAGATTAATTGCGTTTCTTTGTAGCTATCAGCTTGGGTTGCACCGTTGCTTATACGCCTGATTTTTCCAAATTATAAAACATTATTTTCGATTAAAACACTGAAGTAAGCTCATTATAAGAATATATTTCTTGTAGAAGAGTTTTGGTGCATATGTATTTGGTCAGGTTTGGTGGATTTGTCAGATAACCCATCGTCAAAACGGATAATATATCCATGTTCCAGAATCCAATGAGCAGCAGCAGGGGCAGCAACAGCAGCAGCAGCAGCAGCAGCAGCAGCAGCGGGATCGACAGGGCAACTGGACGCCCTACGAGAGGCAAATCTAGCCTCGAAGCATGCCAACCCAGCCGGTCAGGTCACGCCAGGTCAGTTCATTCGGCCACGTTTAGCCCGCGTCCCGCTAGGCCAGTCGCGCATCCTACCATCCGTTTGGGGAGGAGGGGGGGGGGCGTTTCGGCCCCCAATATCTCGGAAAAAACGACCGATTTTAAAGATTCAAACAACGTTCAATAGCGGCACCGCGAAAATACCATGGATCCCAATTTTATTGACCTAGGTGCAACCGATGACGTCAGGGGTCAGGTAAAGGGTCGTATTTTTATCTGTTTATGGGCTTTCTAAGGAATGCGTTATAACATCGAGTAAAAAGTATTATATCGGAAATATGTGGTGTTTCAGATCACCACAGACGTCACCATCACCGGCAGTGACAGCACCACCGGCACCACCGGCAGGCGTGAGTACACCAACGGCAGCCGGGTCCAGCTTCACGGTCTCCGAAACCACTATCAAGTGAAGCGCCATGGCCTTAGAGATATCATTAATGTCAATAAAGCTATTTTAACAATGCATGGTGCTATTTTTTTTTTCTACTTTTTGCTTCGTCACTCAAAATAATTGTCATTGTAATTTCCCTTCTTTAGAGCTGTGTCTGAAATATAAACATCAAAGACGACATTACTAACTAGCGCCTACTATTTCAGATCCAACATCACCACCGTCTCCAGCATGACCATCAGCATCACCATCACCAGCACCAGCACCAGCACCACCGGCTACGGGATCAAACCCGCCACCAGCATGTCCGTAAGTGTCGAATCATAAAATGACAATGAACATGTAAAACTCAAAGTTTTTTTTTCAATCGTCCTAATTTTACCAAATTCCTCTGTTCGTCTTACTGTTTGTTCTTACTGAGCATAGCACGCTGATCTAAAAACGTACTGACTGCTTTCAGATCATCTACCATCACCATCACCAGCCATCACCAGCACCACCACCAGCACCACCAGCTCCGGAACCAAGCCTGCCACCAGTCTCCGTGAGTACAGACGTGATATCCCGGCAGACTGTTGCCTCTTGCTTGTCTCTGGGAAACTCAAACATTTGGCGATGCTGAATGATGCAGAAACTATAAGAAACTAAAAATGAAAATAAGAATAAAAGCAGTAAAACATTTGTTTTTTTTTATTGTCTTCGTTGGGTAGGTAGGTACATTGATATTTTTTTGGTCTGCCAAACTGTCAGTTCCGACTCTTCTTTGATCTTACCAATAAATAGTCCCTTACTTGGCATGAAGAACACCATGAAGGTATTTTTTCAGTTATATATTTCACAGTCTTGCTATATGTTATCGATACTTGTGCGATCGATACTTGTACTTGTCCGAACATTTTTGTATATTTTGCCGTACAGCATTTGGTAGACATTGCTACCGCTCTGTCTGTATGACAAGGTAATCGTGTCGTCTGTCATATAGAATGATTCAATCGTTTATATTATTTCAGGTCCGCCATCACCACCATCACCAGCACCATCACCATCACCAGCACCATCACCAGCACCACCGGCTCCGGGATCAAGTCCTCCACCAGCATCCGTGAGTGTCTTATTGAATTGAATGCATCCTGAAACGTAAAACTTGTTCTTTCCGCAATGTTACATAGGATTTGTGGTCCATATTTTTTCATAATCAGATCGATAGGAATAACAAATAGTAATATTGGTATAATAATACAACAATAATAACAAATTCCGTCAGGATTTTTCTGACCGTAGGGCTGGTTGAGAGGTGAATCCCCTGTATTTTATCCTTCGCCCTGGTGGGGGGGGGGGGCCATTTTGGCCCCCCCCTGTGGTTTTTCAGCGATAACTCAGAAACCACTTGAGTTAGCGCCCTGAAACTTTGTATAGCTGTTTATTCAACATTTTTACATCATGTCCTTTTTTGGGGGGTTCGGGTCAGGTCAGGTCAGGTCACAAGGTCACCAAAACTGACACCACCTCTAAAAAAGTTCAAAGCTCTCTCAAAGGCACAGCTTTTATCCGATCGATGTAAAATTTACAGTACTTGAAGATGTCACCCAGCTCTACAAAATGGCTATCTCGGATTTTTTATAAATGTGACCTAAGGTCAGGTCAGGTCATCGCTGCTCCCCATTATAAGTCAATGGGAGAATCGAAAAGTAGTTGTTTTTCAGCTAAATCGGGCGTGATTGCTCCTATATTTCGTTATTGAAGTGTCTTGGGTCAGCAAATCACAGCCCATGTGAAACCATTTGCTTGTGACCTCGCTGAGGTCACGCTAGGTCATCTCCCTGGTCACCAGAGGTCACCAGCGGTTTTTCTGCACTTACTTGTTATTGAATAGAGATAGAGACTCCGTTCGACGTTTATCGTGTTTGTCTCGTCAATGCGGATCGAATGATATGCAGCATGACCTATTTCGGTAAGGTCATGACCTTGACCTGAGGTCAAATTTTCAAAATGACCTTTCGAGGTCAAACTATATATCATTCGACGCGTCTCGACGAGCCAAGCACGATGGTGCATGAATCGTTTCTCTATTTTCTCGTGAATGCATGCTATAGTTAAAAACATTTTCAACGAAATTTGCCAAGTTGACCTTGCATGACCTCTGTGGGCCAAACCGTTGAGCTGAGGTCAAATCTGACGAACCTTGGCGAAAGAGCTTGAAAAGAGCTATCGATTGCTTTTTTCCGCGGCTCTCTAGCTCTTCTAGTTTCCGAGCTACAGCGGAATATGTCCGGCAACACCGAAAACACTGAAATTTGACCTATGATGACCTCTAGCGACCTCAATATTGACCTTAGCGAAAAAATGACTGAAATACTTTCGAACGTACTTGTTATGGGCTTTCGTTTGCTTTTTTCCGCGTCTTCCTAGCCCTCTTCGTTTTCGAGTTAGACGGGGGGGGGGTCATTTTGGCCCCCCCCCACCAGGGCGAAGGTGGCTCAGACCCACACCAGGGCGCGGGTTATAGGAGTTCTATCCCTCGCACGACCAGGCCATTTCTCATAACACGAACGACCAGGGGGGGGGGGGTTGTTACGACCCCCCCTGGCGTCTCGAAACGGAAGGTCGTAGAGCTTAGCGGAAAAAACCAACAGATTGCTCTCAACGAGATCTCGCGATTGGTGGTATATTTTTCGGTCCTAGGTCAACATTTGACCTACTTATGACCGGTCAAAGGTCAAATTTTCGGAAAAATCTAGCTTTTTCAGAGTTCCGCGCCGATTGCGGCAAAACGGTAAGCGATATCGACTTGAAACCTTCACTATCGTGATCCTTGATCAATTCTCTATCGTTTGGTGCGTATTTCGATGTCATAACTCTAAAAATGATGCGTTAGGAGCATCGGAAGTCTGCAAGGTCATTTGTGCATTGGGTCACGTCAGGCGTGTGACGTCACTGACCTGACCCTGACCCAAAATGAACTACAAGAAACAACCGACGATGCCTGAAATGGATAGCAAATTCGAATTCAGGGCATCAAAATACCCCGAAGAGGCATACAAGTGCAAGAAGTCATTACAGGTCAACCGAGGTCACTGACCTGACCTTGACCTTTAGTAACCTTGAAAAGGTCAACGGACATTGTGCCAATGTCAAATCAGCCAGTTATGGTTCTAAAACAATCCATCAGTGTGTCAGGTCAGTCGGCATTTATACCAATGTGAAGCAATCTCCAATTAAGCGTAAATCTGGCCGGAGGTTGTTCCCTTTATGACGTCATAACTCCGTGACCTGACATGACCCGATCAATTTTTTTTTCGGCAAAAGATGCGCAAAGGTTGCCCCAGAGGGTATTGAAAATTTCAGCCCGCTACGACAAGCCGTTTATCGTGCACTTCGAAAAAACCTCAGGGGGGGGGGGGTTGATACAACCCCCACCCCCACCCCCCCTAGGCGTTCTAGGGCTATCGGTTTGTGGTCAATTTGTATTATCTCCCTTTCAGGTCATCTACCAGCACCACCACCAGCACCACCGGCCTCAGCACCAAGCCCGCCACCAGCCTCCGTGAGTACAGACGCGATATCGGCGGTCATACTGTCGCCCGCTGTTCTCGTCAATAGGAAATAAAATATTTGGCAATTGTAATGTTTGCAGATAATAGAAAACATGAATAGGGATTTTTTAATTCAGTTGATTTTTGTTAGCTACAATAACAACAGTACTGACTCTTTATTTTGTCATGAAAGATCGCGGTTCCACGTCAAATAACCACGGTCATCGTTTTTTATATTGTTTGTAGTATGGTTTTCATCGAATTATAATGAGCGAGCAATTGATACAATTTAGGCACCGCCAAAACTATTGTAATATCTGTTTTGTGGTTAGCAGTTGTATTGTATCTGTATTACATGCGGCGCTAATTGGTCTCTGTGTACCTAGTAATTAACCCGCGCACCGACGGGGGGGGGGCGGATATCCGCCCCCCCTGAGGTTTTTCGCGAATAGCGGGAAAACCGCGGCGCGTAGCGCCGCGAAATTTGGTATCACTATAACCTCATCAATTTTACACATGGTGTGCAAGTTTGAACTTCCTACCTTTTAACCCTATTAGTGGCAGGCTCCTGGCTACCCCTATTAGTGGCAGGGGGGGGCTGTTTACGACCCCCCCCTTGATATCTCGAGATCTAACGGGCCGATTTTCAAAATTCAAACGGCATTCGATTTCGCTCAACGTGATCTACATTTCTAAAAAATAAAAATTAAAAAATGTCAATAGGGGGGGGTAGAGGGGGGTAAAAACGGGCAAATTGCAGATACATTTTAGACTGTTTATCACGGCCAAGTTTCTGAACCAATCTTAACGCAACTTTTGCCGATCGATAGAGAATGAACCAGGAATTCACATGGATCCTAAAAATATGCATTTTCAAAAATCATAGGCGGATACAGATAATTGAGATTGGGGGTACACAAAAAGTATAGTAAATAAGGTTTTTGTTGGTACTGTTTCTAAAAAGGGTGGTCATGGTCTTGTTATGTTACAATTTTCTTATGAGAGAACGACTACAATTGTATTGGTCATGCATAGGCGGTGTCAGGGCACCTATGTTGGGAGGTAAAACATAACCCCCCTTTTTGGACGCCTGGATCCGCCTATTATAGCAAAAACGTGTCAAAAGAGGATGCACAATAACTGTATATGTTATCACATGATACCTTTCATTCACTGTTCGTAAAACTGGTGCAGCATCGTGATCTTCGCCCAAATGACTCGCTTCACGAATAGGACCCCCCAATTCCCAGTGCTCTGGAGCCGCCCCTGGTAAAGTTATGAACTTGAAATTTTCAGGGAATGTGCCCAATTTAGTTTTAGGAAAAGTCAGAAAATTTCAGCATCGTAGCTTGAGCGGTTTCGGAGATATTCCCGAAAAACCTGAGGGGTGGATAAAAACAACCCCCCCCCCTGCCACTAATAGGGTTAAGGTTAGGTCACCAGGTCACTTTGAATGACCCAACCTCAAGTCACTTTTTTGCAACTTCGTCACCGTGCCACAGCTACAGTAGGTGTCGGAGGCCTTTGAAAGTCGCAGGATATTATTAGGTCATTAGTAGCTACAATTTGTATATCTCGGAATTTTGATATCGGTGACCTAAGGTCTGGTCAATTTCGCGACCTCCCCATTATAAGTCAATGGGGGAAAAATCAACTCCCTGTTTTTACCACTAAAACGGGTCGGAATGGCCCCATATACTTTACATGACTTCATATACGATCAACCTTCACTACCTTGAGGTCTGTTTTGCTGTTGGGCAGCTGTGAGGT